TAATGACCCATGCCCAGGCCTCTTCAAAGTAGTCATTTGACTATTTTGACAATTTTCCAGTAATATAGTCATTTTTCGAGAATGAAATTAGTCAAAATAGTCATTTCTGTAACAAATGCGGTTTTTATTGCATAGCCAGGCCCAATCGGTTTAGAAATCTATTGATTACTTCTGATTCAGCGCTTGCCGGCAATGGAGGATCCCTTCTAGCGAGAAATCTGTCAAGGATTGACGGAAATCGTCTTTTTCCCACTTGAGATTGGAAAAGTCGGACTCAACTGTGGACGTATTGGGGAAAATTGAAGCAAGTCCTCCTGCAAAGGCACAAAGCTGTCCATACTGGGAAGATATATTTCCGGCACTCCAAGCCTCATCAAATGTGGCTGTTTTAGATCCAGCTGTGCGGTTCAGTGCTGATTTGAAACGCGCCTTCAGATCGCGATGCTGAAAACAAATAGCTTCAATTTCACTAGGATTGAAAGAAGCCTCCAACCGGTGGTGGTGATTTTCCAGCAAAGCAATAAGATCCCGGGGCCGCATTTCAATGTATTCCCAAGGCAACGTTGGGAGAACAAGGTGATTATTGGCCGTGTTCAGGTCAGTCCGTTCTGCACAAACGTCCTTGAGTCCGGCAATCAAGGAGCTGAGCATATTGGCAACGTGTTGAAGAATCCTCTCTGTTCCGGAGGATTCCGTCAATCGCAGAAGCTGAACAACGAACAAGCCTTGGTCACACAAAAAGCCATGCAAGTCTTCTTTTGTAAACCGCAGCCCTCTGCTGTAAATATACTGCTCAGGATCTAAATTTGATTGTTCCTCGGATATTGACTCTGCAAACGCCAGCTTTACCAAGCGCTCGATGCAATCTTGGATTTCAGCAGATTGTTGATTCAATAATGATCGGTTTCCTTGCAGGCGCTGTACTGTTTCGCTGATGTCAGATGCAATTACATTGACGGCAGCAAGGTAGATCCAGAATGTGGAAGATTGCTGGCTGCTTCGTCTTTCCATATTCAACGATTCGTAATGGTTAATAATTTCGGTCCGGTGAATCAAGAGATATGAAGACACACGTGACAGTGACAGCCACCGCGTTCCTGAAAGGGCAGGGCATGTGGATTGCAAGCGATCGATTAGAGATTTTTGACGACGAAGGTGGGATATCATTCCAGTCAGACCCTGATAGAACTCGCCCTCGTTTACGTTGCGGAATGTTCGCTGCATGACTAGATCCACCTGATGCAAAGCGCACCAGATTCTCACAAACCCTGGAAGTGCAACTTCAGACAGACGTGTTACCAGTCCGGAGATGTGTCCAATCATGTTCGGCGCACCATCTGTAGAACATGCCAGGATTTTCGATTTCCAGTTTGGGCACAACGCGCTCAGTACTGTTTCCAATACGTCAAACATTGCAGCTCCGGTATGGCTGCCAGAAAATGGCACGGCAATCAGGTGGTAATTTTGCAGCTTTCCACCTGTGCAAAAACGAACTCGTATATCAATATATGAAGTGCTCTGGCAACTGGATCCGTCAGCAGCGACAGAGAAAGCCCAGCAATCGGACAGTAAATCCGATAAACGTTGGAACGCTACAGCACATAAAATCCGCACGTGCCTAGCAACTGTGCCTTCGCTGCAATGACCTAGTTGGATACATCCAGTGATGTCTTTGGCATCTTGAACAGCTCCAGCCGCCTGGCGGAAGGACAGTCCTCGACCAACAAATCTTGTAGCTAACTCGTACTGTTTCACCTGCTTGATCCAAACAGAATACTTTTGTGTTGCTTCGTCGAACGAAAATACCGAGAGCGGATTTGCAGTCGGAGAGCCTCCTCCTTCTTCAGGAGTACAAAGCAGAGTACCAATTATAACTTCGACGATTTCTTTGGAGATCACAAACTGAAGGGGTGTCGACTGTGGCTC